CCCTTCTCTAGCCCCTTCTCCTACGCTTTTCCTCCTCCCTGAGCCACTCCAAGCTGCCATGAGCTGAGCAGCTTCTTCCACACCCAAGAAGCTCTGCTCACCTCAGGCCCAGAGCAATGGAGTCGGTGGACCGTGGACTGAAACCATGAGCCCAAATAACTCTCTCCTGCTTCAAGTTGCTATATCCAGGTACTGTGGTCACAGTGATGAAAAGCTGACAAAAGGCCCTATGTGGTAGTAATTATGATTCTGGAAAGCCCTGGGGAGGAGAGCACGATTACAATCAGGCCGAGAGAGGCCCTGTGTGATGTCTGCTCTCACAGCTATTAGAAGAGCCGCTTTCACCCTCTTATCCCCGTGTAATATGATTCTGGTGTTCCTGGAAGAGAGAAAATGCCCAGCGGACTGTGTCTGCAGTCCCGAAACAACCCCTCCTGCCTCATCATATTGCCCCTGATCTACTTTCAGGACAAGAGTAAAATGTATATCAATAAACAGAAGCACACTGAAGAGGCTGGAGGAGAGAGGCTGGGGCCCAAGCCTAAGTCTGAACTGCACACACACGCACACGGGTGGTCCTGGACTTCGGGGCTTCAATTCACAGCATTTCCACTTACAATAGTGTGAACATGATACACACTCAGCATAAAACATTCTTCCAGATTTTGAATTTGGATCTTTTCCCAGAATAGCAATATACATTCTAATACTCTGGATGCCGGGCAGCAACCGTAAGCGGCAGCTCCCAGTCAGCCCTGCCATCTTGAGGGCCAACAAATGACACCCCATATTGCACTGTGCTGCTCAGCTGGGGTGTTCTGTAGGTTGTTTATTAAGTGCATTTTTGATTTAAGATATTTTATACTTGTCCTAAGGGTGTACTGGGACACGTGTGCATGAGAAACATCTGTGTATGTATATGCTTTTACATGGATGCATAAATGGGTGAATGGATGGATGGGTGAGTGGATAGCTGTGTGAATGGATGGATGGGTGGGTGGGTGGATAGATGGATAGATGGATGAATGGGTGAATGGATGGATGGATGGATAAACAGGTGAATGGACGGATGTGTGAATGGACGGATGGAAGGATGTGTTGATGGATGGATGGATGATTAGATGGATGAATGTGGTAATGGATAAAAACCTGGGTGGATGGATAATGGCAGCCTTGGACAGCTCCCTTAACCTCTCCATGTCTTGGTTTCTCCATACATAGTGAACTTTCTGATTAAAAAAAAAAACAATATAATCTCTAACGTTCTTAGAACCAAGCCTGGCACACAGGAAGCACTATGTGAATGTTAGCTCTTCCCATGTTAGACATGTGGACTGTTGAGAGGCTGTTGGCTAAATGGCTTGCTCAGTGGCAACCTTCATTCAACAAGGGTGGGAGAGGAACTCTTCCCAGGGAGCTTGAATAAAGACATTTTCATTTTGAAAGAAAAAATACTGCAACTCATGGGCATTTTTTTTTTTCCTTCAAAATTTAGACCTCAGGTACAAAAGGCAGCGTTTTTAACTTAATCTTCTCAAGACAGAAGCGATTTCAGTTTAATCCCTATCATTTACCACAGTATCTGGAACAGATAGCGGGAGGAAGGGAGAAAGGAAGAAAAAAGGGCAAAGGAAGGAAGGAGAGGAAGGAAGGAGGGAGGAATGTTCAACAGACAGCTCCCTTCAGACTGGCCACGGAATGCTCATTAGATGCAGGGATTTGGGGTTCCTACCCATTAGAGACAGATTCAAACCAGAATAAGTGCACACTATTTTACACACAACAGATCCTCAACTGATGGGATCAGGTGGGAGGAGTGACCTTGATCCTGAAGAAAACACAGTTGCAGAATGCTCCGTCCTCCTGAGATGACGGCAGGGCCAAGCAGCTCTGCTCCCAGCCTCCTCTGCCCTGCACCTGTCTGGCCCTTGGCAGTTCACTATGAAAATCTTGTTTACTCCCATTATTTCATGAGGCTAGAGAGAATTCTGGTCATTTCCGCTGGTTGGTTAGGGATTGAGGGGTTTCCTAAGACAGGGGAGTTGCAGTTTTAAAACTAGGACAGTCCTGGGCCAAGGGAAATATGGAAAAACCCCACAGAACCTTGTTTTTCAGACTTTCTGGGCTTCTCTAACTTAAGAGGTATTCACATACTGCTTCCCTACAGAACAGTGCTCCTTCTAGCCAAAGGGAGGCTGCACAAGGTCTGCAGGAAGAAGAGCTGCAGTCACATGTTCCTTGGGAATGTCCACCTTGTGTTCTGGTGTAAGGAGACAGATTGATGAGAATGTTGGGAACATGAGTATAAAATGGGCTCACTATGCTACCCCCATAAGCTTTCTTTACCAAAAAGCAATTTGCCTGAAGCCCTGCCTGGCCAGAGTGGACAGGACATGTCACATTCCTCAGCAAACTGGAGCAGGTTTGAAGGTCAGGCAGTCAGTGTAGGTAAGGAATGAAGGGGGTGAAGAGAGGATGGGGACTTGCTATCAAACAGAGAACAATGAGTTGTTAACTCTGCCATCATGTTCCTGGGCACTCTGGGTTGCTAACAATTAACCTCCATGTCCCTGCTCTTAGGAAGAAAGAGAGGACAATAATCAAAAAGAGGGGTTCTGGGGTCTATAAAAGAGCAAGATGCACCCCTTCCTATGGATACCAGCTCTGGAGCCCCTTATCTTCAGAGAAGTCTGTCTCTGTCCCTTTCTTAAATAAAACTTGCTTTCTATAATAGCTTCACCATTTCTTGGGTATTTAAACTTCTGAGGAATAAGGACCTATTCCTGATCTCCAATAGACCAGTATCACTAGCTCAGTTTACTGTTATATAATACCAGAGATTGGGTGCCTTAAATAGAAAACATGTATTTCTCACAATTCTGAAGGCAGGCAGCCCAAGAGCAAGGTGCAGACATCCTCAGGTTTTTGGTGAAGGTCTCTCTTGGTTTGCCAATGTTGATCATCTTGTGTGCTTACCTGGCAGGGAGCACAGTGAGCAGAGCTCTCTTCCACCTGTTTGCAAGAGCACAGATCCCATTCATGACGGCTCCACCCTGTGACCTACCTACCTCCTGATCCTTCATACTGGGTAGGATTTCAGTATGCATTTGGGGGACACACTCAGTCCACAGCACCTTGATTAGATGACAAAGGAAAATGCCATTCAGGATGGTATTTTGTTGCTAATCACTTTGTCCCCTCTTGTTAATCTCTAGAAGACATGATTATTTAACCTGTGCTACCGATGTTACTGTAAAACACAACACATAGAAGAAAACTATAAAAATCAGTGTTCAATCAATTATCATGGAGTGAAAACATCTCTGAAATTCCCCCAAAATAAGTAGTTTTTAATGGATAAAGAACATCTGTTTAAGGAAGAGTTTTCTTTCTCTTTCCTGAGATACTGAATCTCTAGATCTTGATTCTATACATCCTTGAGCTACCCACATTCATGCCAGAGATCCCATACTGAGCATCACAAGATGCTTTTGGTGAGCCTCTTCCAGACTGCCTGTCAGCAATAGAAAATGTTACCTAACCAACATTTAGAATTAGTGTTTTAGAACAAGAGATACATTTGTCTGAATATATGTTTCCTTTCCCTTTCTTTCTTCCTTTTGGAAGATCCTTCTATGGGTTTATTTTCCTACATCCTGTTCATTGACTCCAATTTTCATGTAGGTACAAGATGTAAAAGGCCCTACATTACATTACCTGTGGGGATAAGTGATATACTATTATAATAATATACTGTTATAAATGTTGCAGAAATGGTGGTGACAGCTATATCTTATAAATCTGACTCATTTTAAAATTTTGTTTTGTTTCTTTTTAAGCAAGAAACTGAGGCCACATGACTGCTACATATTACAGGCTAACTGGAATCCAGGAGGTCTGTTGTGTGGGCACAACCCAATTAAGCTGAGCACTCACTGAAATTGCTTTCTCAGCCAGGATGGAAAATGATTGATCACAAGTCAAACCACACATTAGACTGAAGGAGTTTACAGGTAAATCTGGCCTAAGGCCATTTCATTTTGATGGGTGGAAATTTGAAGTGGTTAAGTGAGGCAGGGAGCTACTTCATTCTCTGCCTGAGATCCTTCAGATTGGGGGGCAGGGGTATGCAGGGGAGACTGGCTTCCCAGTGTGGCTGCAGATGGGATGTGGACCTGAACCAGTGGCTCACACTCAGTGGACTTTAGGAACTTCTTGAAAAAGGGCAAGTGTGCTGAGGACTCACCTAAGCCCACTGACCCCTATTAGACATGTTTACTGAGCTCCTGCACTGGGACCCTGCAGACCAGACCAAGCCAGAGTGGAGTCACTTGTGCAAGTACCTGGTTATCAAACTGAACATCCAAGGAGACCAGTCTTCCTAAAGCAACAGAAGATTCCAGCCCACCTGAGCCAGCACAGTAAGGAAGCTCCTTCTGTTTTAACCACATAAAGGGAGTAACAGTTTGTTGAGCTCCTTTCTGCATGTAACTGCCAACCTCCTCTGCTCTGCTCATCGCTAATGCGCATTCTATTTTCAGACTCCAATAAAAACCAAGTAGCTCTTTAGGTCTGTGTAACCTTGTCTTGACACTTCTCATCTTGAAGGTGGCGTCCAGGCCTCAGGGTAAGCTCAAAGCTGCCTGTGAAGCCCTGGGCCGCAGCGTGGTAGTGAACACTGAGCTCCCGGCTGCAATGTAGCAGGGCCTGCTCCTTTCCGAAGCCTGCCCAGGTGGACCCGCAGCAGAGGGCCCAAGCCGCAGCCTGGGGGCCTGCAGCAAAGGGGCGACCCCAGGGCAGAACTCGGGATACTTGGCGCAGCAAAGGTTCAGTAGCCGACACCACCCGCAAGCCAGCACCGAGAGCCACGCGCGAGCTCCCACCGGTCCCAGGGGTCTCCGAGCCGGGAGGCGAGCAGCTCCCGCAGCTCGCCCAGGCCCCGGCGGAGCATGCGCGGGCGGAGGCACGGGCGCGGGGCGGGGCCTGCGGCGGGGCTGACCCGACCCGGACGCGGCGGCGGCGGCGAGCTCGGCCATCCGGCATGGCGCGCCACGTGTTCCTCACCGGGCCGCCAGGTGAGCGCTGGGCAGCGGGCCGGGGCCCCCAGAGCTCCGAGCTCGCGCTGCCGCGGCCCCGGACCCGCAGGACCTCGGCGCCGGGGGAGGAAGCCGGGCGCCGCCACAGGTGGGCGCGGCCGAGGCCCGTAGGTGGCGGGGAGCCAGTGTGAGACTGGTGGCCGCGAATCAGTGCTGTCCTGGGGCGGAGGTCGTCACCTGATGTCGTTCACTTAGCCCCAGGTAGCAAAGGTCACGTCCACGCAAAAACCGCTCTTGCCCCAAGGGAAATGAAAAGATGGCCCTTCTGAGCCAATGAGTGACGCAGGCCGGGAACGTGGATTCAGTTACCCTGGGCGGCCGGCACCGGCGTGGACAGGTCGTGCAAACTCGTGGTTACAGGACGAAAGAATCTCATGAGTCAGTGCACGCTTCAAGTACGCCTTGGGAGCGGCAGGCCTCACCTGCAGTAGGCGGGGACTTCCATAGGCCGCAGAACTGGCCTTCTTAGCTGCAGCGTGGGTGGAAGCTGAGGTCAGCTCAGAGTAAAGACACAGGAGGTTATGGTGGGTCAGGCGCAGAGGCTGGTAGTAAATGGCTGGGGACTGCGGTACTGCAGATAAGCCTGGATCTTACCTGCAGCATTCCATCTCCCCCATCAGGATGCTCCTGTCGGCCTGGCCCAGCATTCTGCAGGGCCTTTAGTATGGATAGGGCCTCTTCAGAGCTTCAGAACTTTTCATTGCATGGTGCAGACTCTGGATCTTTACTAGGCGGTGTATGTGAGGGGGGATTTAGGAGATCTGGGATTTAAGAGATGCATTTTTAGGAGACTGTGGAATAAAGGGATTTTCCCACCAGTAAGTGTTTGCCTGGTCTCCAGCACCCAGCCTCTGATCTAAGCATGGCCCCTGTTGGTTCCCAGGTGGAAAAGTGAGGAGGGTGAACCTGGGAGGAAACAAAGCTCAATTCTGGATGCAAACTCATCTTGGTATCATCTTGGAAGCACTCTGCACATGCTGGGGTTGCATATGAGACAACTCTGAGGATGTTTCAGAATCTGAATAAACTTCAGGATGCCATTCATGTTTTCACTGTGTTTGTTTCTGCTAGAATTGAAACATTTGTAACACCTGGAGCAATCAAGATCAGAGTGAGATTCATATTCATAAATCTGAGTGCAGCCTGCTTCTGTGCCTCCCTTTGTTGCCCTCCTGGAGTGGCAGGTGTTGTGTGTGCTAGGGGAGCACCTCCTGATGAACCTCTTCTTTGTTTTTTTCAGGGGTTGGAAAAACAACCTTGATCCAGAAAGCCAGTGAGGATTTGAAGTCCTCTGGGGTGCTCGTGGATGGATTTTATACAGAAGAAGTCAGGCAGGGAGGGAGAAGGACAGGATTTGATGTTGTCACTTTGTCCGGCACGCGGGGGCCTCTGTCCAGAGTTGGGTACTGATCCTTCATTTCTGTGGGTTTTATCCTTAAGCTGCCCTTCTATCCAAGTTCAGAGCTTTTATATTCTGATTCCACCAGAGCTAAATTCTTCAAAAGTTCCCTGTGGGGTCCTTGGATGCCACTCTGCCTCCCTGTCCCAAGGGTTCAGAGTCCGTGTCTCCCTGAGCTTGGGGCTGAGCCCGATCTTGAAGTATCTAGGGCTCGAGAGATGTGCCAGAGAAAGGAAACGGAGACCACTGTGTGAACAACAAGCACAGAAAGCACGTTTCATTTGGAATGTGGGCCAGAGTCCTGTGCTTTTCTCCCATGGTAACTCGTGGCCCTGTGTCTGGATAGACAGCTTGGGTACTGGGGCTGCGGGGCTGTAGTCACCTTGCAAGGCCCTGGTGGTGTGACGCAGTTCTCAGGAGAGGAGTCAGTGGGACCAATGCTCCCAGCGGCCTCTTCACTAGGTGGTTGCTAAGGTTGGGGTGGATATGCAGAAGGCCAGTGCTGCAGTGGGCTGCAACAGGAATCAGCATCAGACCCCTCCTCAAAGCAGTGTCTTTTCTTTCAGGCCAGACCCTGTGCCTGGAAAGCGCGAGTGCCGGGTTGGGCAGTACGTGGTGGACGTGACTTCTTTTGAGCAGTTGGCACTTCCCATCTTGAGGAACGTGAGTATGTGTTCTTGCCTCCTGAGCCTGCCTGTGCTCTGCGTCACGGAGGCTGCCAGGGGAGCAGAATGACGTTTGCTCCTGCAGGGAGGACAGTTGTGCAGTTTATGGTTTAAACTCTCTAAAGAGTTGAGCTAAGAAATGCAGCATGAGATACCCTGGGCTGCACACGAAGGCCTTGCCTCTTGTTTGGCACATATAGGTACTCCACATTAGGGTGACCAGGAAGGCTCCCAAGTCCAGCTACCCACACCACAAAGACTGAACTGCCTTGCTTCCCTGAGTGTGGAGCCCTTTCTCTGTTGCTGTTCATTGTTGAGACCCAGGAGTCTGCATCTGTGTTCAGAGGGCTGTGTTCTCACTTTATTTTCTTGGCATCTTTGGCTTTGATCTTAGGGCAATACTGGTCTCCCTCCTCTGATTTTTGGAAGACTTTGTGAATGGTTGTTATTCATTTTTCTTTGAATGCATGGAAGCCACACAGGCCTAAAAAGCTTTTTATGAGAAGCTTTTTAATTATGAGTTTAATCTCTACTTGTTATACATCTGCTGGTTTTTGATTTCTTACTGGGTTCATTGTGGTAATTTGTGCCTTTTGATAATTTGTTCATTTCATCTAAGTTACAAATTTATTTTATTTTGTAAACTTGGTTGTGTTGGCTGAAATTTCTTTCATTCCTTCTTTATTCATAGCTCTTCTGTTTTTTCCCTAATCAGTCTAGTTAAAGGTTTTTCAACTTAGACGATCTTTTCAAAGAACCAGCTTTTGGTTTTGTTGACTATTATCTGTTTTTGCGTCTATTTGTCACATATTATCAAGTCCTGGATCAAGTTCAGGGTCATGAACAAAACATACATAAGCTCACCTCTGGAGACTCAGCCTAGAGGCCGGGCAGTGGATGTGAGTGAGGCTGGGACCCCTGCCGCACTGCTGTGAGAGCAGCAAGGGATGGGTGGGGCTAGGAGGCCAGGAAGGGGTCCCTGAGGAGCTGACATCCACCAAGAGGAAGCTAAGAGGAGAGAGTGTTGGGATGACTGGGGAGGGGTGGTCCAGGGAGAATCTTCTAGGTGGCAGGAGGAGGAGGAGGAAGTAGGATTGGTGAGGGTGGGGCCGAGGTGCAGGCTAGGGGCCTTGCTGCGGATCTTAGACTTACTTTTGTGAAATGGAGTGGTATGAACTTATCTCAAGAACCTATTATAAACCTTCTAGGGCTTTCTACCACACCAGGACTGGAGTCTGACTTCCTTGTCTTCCACAGATGTCAGGGCTGTTCCCGTCTTAGGCTCCCAGCACTCACCATCTTTATAGTTGGCACTCCCTCCTCCCAGCTTGTGCCCTTCTGCCCCTCAGCCCCAGAGCGCAGTTGGTGGTTGCCAAGACTGCTGGAGTTGAGATCCAGCCTGCCCAGGGTGCCTCAAGTAGGCGGGGTCTTATGCCCTGGTTGGGGGGCCACAGCAAAAGGGTTCAGTCTCCTTGGCCTCCTCGGTTGTGCTTACCTCCCCCTCCTTGTTCTCTGGAAACCTTCCCTGGGAACAGTCAGAGAATGTGGTATTTTTCCTTAAAATACCTCTATCTAAGTGTCCAAACAGCAAGTGAAATGTGTCTAATGAAATTCCCACTGAAGAGCCTGGCTCTGAGCATCAGATCAATACACTGGATTGATTTTTACCTCCTGTCGGCAGGCAGAGTTCTGGGAGAGAGGGCGCGTGCCTCATGTCTGGCTGCAGGCTTACATAAGCGTCCCCATACTGACCACAACAAGAGCCTGCATCTGTCTTCTTAATTAGGAAACAAAGACAAGCTCTGTGCTGACCAGCAGCCCAGACCTTCAGGTGCCAGGTGGGAGCAGCCCTCTACCGGGCGTCCCTGCCCAGTTAGGGCCTGGATTTCTTTTCTGGAGCTAAAATATTTCTCCTCTCCCCCGCCCCCCCCCCCCCCCATTGTGATGAAGAAAGGAGAAGGAACTAGTGTTTAACTTTTATAAAAACAAAAAGACTAGGCAACAAAAATAGGGGCAGACAAGTTTTGCTGTTGGCAGGTGGTGACCAGGTGGGCTGGAAGCTTTGGAAACCCCAGTGGGGCAGGTGAGGCCCTCCATCCAGGGCTGCAGTGTCGAGGTTGGGGCGCCAGGATCTAGGAAAGGCTCTGACAAAGTGAAGAACTGTCTCTTATGTGTAAGAGCTTCACTAGGGGTGAAAAGCTGGTTGAGTCCTTTTAAAAATACTCTGAAAATGTAAGAAAAATAATTCTCGGTTTGGACCAGCGTGGTTTGCCCATTCGTCCCTAGGGAAGCAGGATGTGCCGGGAGCTGGCAGCAGCTTGGGGCAGGGGAGGCCAGGAGGCTCAGGTTGCTGCCTTAGCGTGGGTGTCTGCTACTCCCTGCAGACAAAGCAGAGATGGAGCAGAGCAGGGGCGCGGGTGGGGAAGGGAGGAGGGCAGATGCTGGTGGGAAAGGATCTAGACCTCTAGGAAGCCCCTCAGGCCCAACTGTGTTGATGGCTCACCCCAGGGCTGACACCTCTCCTTGACTGAGAGCTGTCACTTATTGTTTTCCTAAATATTGAAATTTTCTCTGCACATGGTAAAAGAAATGTTGTAAAATATTTAAAAAGAAGAAAGAAAATATGAGTAGGTCAGGCCTTGTCACTGGCACAGCCGCTGTGGGCCCGCTGTGCTTCTGCCCGGCTCTGCCTGGTGTGTCTGTTCAGTTGTCCAGAACTCGGGAGCAGCCCCTGTCATTTTATTGGCGTGGTTTGATTTTCCTGTGGTCTGAGTGGCCTGGAAGATGTCTCATAATTTAATAATCTTCAAAACTGAAGTTTGATGATCTGCTATCTCAGAGTGAGGATTTCACCTTCCATGTAGCCGTGGCTCCCTCTGTATGGACACCTTGTTCCTAAGGGGAACTGGCCTTGCCACCAAGTCCCCTGCAGGAGCTCTGCACCTAGCTGTGCTGTTCTCTGTGGGGCCTGATGGGCAGTGTGGGTGGGAGGAGCCTGCGCTCTCAGGGCCACTCTCCCCCTGCCAGTGTGAGCGCAGGCTTGTTTCAGGCACTTTGTGGGCACACTGATTTACACTTGGAAAACACTTCTTAGTTTTGATTTCCATTTTTAAGGTACTGATGAGGTTAAATGGTTTTCAATTGTTTGGGGTTTTTTTTTTTTTTAGTCTAAATTGTTTCATTATCTTCCCATTTATACCTCTTTGGCTTAAGAAATCTTTTGTAAGGCAGATAACCTTTTTATATTTATTGATTCTATTTTTCTGTTTGTCACTTTATTTTGGAATTTTTTTTTTAAACATAAGGAAAGCTTTGCCCTATTCAAAATTAACATAAACTTTTACTTTACTTTTCTTCTTTTCTGTGCTTTTGCTTTCAGTCAGTCCGTCTGGATTTATTTTGAATGTAACACAAGGAGACAGTTGGGTTCCTTCCAGATACTTAGCTTGCTTGCTAAAACCATTTATTAAACAACTCACTTCCAATTAGTGTATCATGCTTCATAAATCATATTTTAAAACCCTAGTGTGTGTGATGTTTCAGGGTCAGCTGTTACCTTCTGTTGATCCTTTCATTTTTGTACCAATACCATACTACTTTAATTACAATTATAATTGTAATTTTGTTCTTTGAAAAATTGCCTTTGCTTTCTCATGTGTTGGTCCTTCTGCATTGCCGGGTGCTGATGGCAGCGTGGTAGTGTTGGCTGTCACTGATTGCAGACTCCGTCAGGCTGGAGGCTCAGTCCTCAGAACGCTGCCGCCGTGTTCCTGTTTTGCAGAGGGGGTGCCCGAGGCCTTGCTGGGTGGCACAGCTTCTGTGAGGCAGAACTGTCCTGAACTGTGGAATTGAGACTGCGCTGGAGGCCACATGGGGTAACAGGAACTGTGTGTAGCGAAGGCCGTGCTGTTGGAGAGAACATGGTCATTTTCCAGACAGCCTCCTTTCTGTGGCTGTAGTGCGGTTCCTCCCTCTCCCCACTTAGCATCTTCCCGGGTGCCCTGTTCACGGGGCTCTGATGAGAGTGGACTCCTCCGTAAGCCCTAGTGGCAAGCAGGTTGAACTGCTGTCCTTGGAGTGCCTGTCCCACCAAGGCGTGGCGCCTTGGGGTGCTGAACCCCAAGCCAGGACTGCCCCCAGCTACTTGCCAGTTAGACATAGGTCATCACCACTCCCTGTAGCAGGGAGTCTGTTCGCTTCCCCACAGGCAGCTTCTAATAAGGAGAAGGACAGCAGGCAGCAGAGATCAAAGCTCTTCTCCAAAGTTCAAATATCGATCAGCATTTTTACTAGAGTGTGAATTTTTTGAAAACGGTTGTGAATGCTGCAGGCATGAGGACAGCAGTCCCTGTACCTGCCATGGGTCCACAGCTCAGCAGGCCGCTGGCTGAGCACGCTCTGTGCACATGCCACTCGCCACCCACACACATGGGGTTCGTGCCTGTGCCTCTGTCCACCTGGGCACATGAGTGCTGCCCACCTTGGAGAGCGGCTTCTTCACGGTGAGAGGGATTTCTTGGACACTGTTCCTTGTTCCTGGAGGAAGGTGTATGCAGGATGTGATGCACAGGCGTGGGTGGGGCCTCGGAGTGGGACATCTTGTGTTGGACTCCAGAGCCCTCAGTGTGCTCTCCGTGGGGTACCCCTATAGGAAATGCGGACAGATGCTGGGAGCCATTAGCCAAGTAGGTATGACAATTTCCTTGCCAGCGTACCCCATGTTGCTGACATGTTGCAGCGACATTGAATGTAGGTGACCTTGCTCAAGGACCAAGGCAGATTAGGGTGTTCCCGGTTTTAAGATAATCCTGTTTAGGGCGTTCCCAGTTTAGGTTCCAGGTTTAAGGTTTAAGATTATTCCTGCTGGGAATAGGGCGTATCCTGCTGCCTGAGTTCCCCTTGAGTTCTCACTGATTCAGACAGTATATTTTGGAGATAGAAGACCAGTGGATGTGGATTTGGGCAGAGAACGTGGATTTCCCCAGAACGTGATTGTAGACGGCTGGTGTGAGTTCGGGAATAAAGAGTTGCTGTTTGAATCTACAAGCTGTGTGGTGGCTCGTGATTGTGTGCCCAGCCAGACTGTGGCATTTGGTGGCCCGTACGGGGCCACACACTGCCTCACAGTGGTCAGAGGCCTGACCATGCTGTGCTCAGGGATGCCTGGTGCCCACTCTGAGGGCGTCCATGGAGGGAGGTTCTGGTCATCCTGGAGCAGCTAGGGCAATGGGCAGCAGTACCTGGGAGGCCTCCCATCACGGTTGGGTCTGTATTTGCCAGGGAACTGGGGCCAGAGCAGGGCTGTTAATCTATCATGGGGCCTCACAGGCCTAAGCCTCCAGAGTGGTACTTGGGGCCCTTGTCACGAGGAGGGGCTCTTTATTCTGCATGCCACCTGTCAGCTGGCAGGACCTCTTTGGCCCTAGGACAGCTCTCCCAGCCTGGAGGACCCGTGTGTTGGGCTAGGTGACGGTTTGTGTGAGGTTAGGACATGTAGGAGGGGCCTCCACCTGAGCCACCCCAGCCCTGAGAGGGACACTGGCGCTCTATGGAGCAGCTTCTGCCGCAGCTGGGCCCAAGCAGGGAAGGGCCCAAGCAGGGAATGGCCCAGTGGTCGTCCAGATGTCTCGGAGAAGACTCAGAATCCAGGTCAGGAGACCGGGATCTTAGGGTCTCAGCCTTGCTGTCTTGTTTCTTTTAAACTTGAGATATTTGGGTGCCATCTATTTTCTGGGTACATATAAATATGAAGTGTGGTCACTCTTGGGACCATTGCAGAGGAATAGACATATTGCAGGAAGCCAGGGCTTGGGGAACCAAGTGCTCCGTGCCGCAAGCTCCTGGGAGCCCTTGTCCTAGGTCTGCATGCAAGGACAGTCTGGCCCTTGGGCCGCGCGAGTGGTGTGGCCTGGTGTCCAGTGTGTTTCTCCATCCCCAGGTGGGTTCCGGTGGCCCTGGGCGCAGAGTGTGTGTCATTGACGAGATCGGGAAGATGGAGCTCTTCAGCCAGCCCTTCATCCAGGCTGTGCGCCAGACACTGTCCTCACCAGGGACCGTCGTCCTGGGCACCATCCCCATTCCCAAGGGAAAGCTGCTGGCCCTGGTGGAGGAGATCCGGAGCAGGCCTGACGTGAAAGTGTTCAGTGTGAGTACCCATTAGCACGGGCAGCACCCTTGCCTGCTCCTGGGCCTTGACATGCCACTCCCCCCTACTGCAATGTCAGCAGGTCTGATTTTAGGGATTTAGAATGAAACCATCCTCTACACATTGACAGACCATGGGGGCCACCTAGTGTCTTGTCCCCGTGGCCCCCCCCCCCCCCCCCCTGCCCCTGCATCTGCTCCACTGCCCCCTCCTGCCCTCCTCTGTGCCTTCGAGTGCCCCTGGCGAGCTCTGCTTGCTGTTCCCACCCCAGGATAAAAGCCTCCCAGGTGCAGGTGGCAAGTGAAAGGTGTCGGCTTCTCAGTGGGGCTGCAGCAGAGTGAGCAGTGGCAAGACCACCTGGCCTGTGGGCCCTGGTGTGATGTTGCCACCGAGCATCCTGTGGCTGGTGAACAGCTGTTAGCCTTGGACCAGCTGACCAGCGAGGCATGCGCACCTCTCACGTGTGCACTTTCTTGGTAGGTGCCAGCTGAGTACCTATTTTTGTGCACGGCATTGTTTCACATCTTGGTGGGTCTGTTCCTGGAGAGCTTGTGGCCGAGTGCAGGTGGCCGAGTACAGGAGCCGGATGCCCTGTGTGGGGAAGGGAGGCCCGGCAGCACGGCCAGGTGGCCTGGTGGTGGGCAGCACTCAGGGGAGGTCTGTCCCAGGAGGTGACGTCTCAGTGGAGGCTGGATAGGCGTGAGGCCAAGTCCTCATGTCAGTGGCCTCTGAGCCAAGTGCTGCCCTCCTGCCCCTCTGCACACTGCCTCTGTGGTAGAGGTTTGTGATGACGGTGTCTGTGGACGTAGAGGCAATGAGTGCCAAAAGGTCACAAGATGGCACCTTCATGCTGTAAGGCTGGTAGTGTTAGCACCAGGGACCCAAAAGTCCTGAGGAGGGTCAAGGGAGCTGAGGGCCATGTGCAGAGTGAGTGCTGGGTCCTGAGATGAGGCCGCTCCAGAGGGGAGATCGTCCTCCAGGCAGGGCTGTCACTGCTACTAATGAGGGTACATGAAGCATCAGCTCTGAGAGCGCAGGGGGGCCCCTTCTGGTCCTGGCTTACGAATCAGAACCTCGTTTCCTTGTCAGTAGACCTTAGCAGCTGGCTTACATGTGGTCTTGGGTCCTTTCCGATCCTAAGACACAGTGGATGTCTAAATCCATGTCTGAGAATGTCCTCTGCCTGCAGCGTCCCTGGAGCAGGCACCTGTGAGGAACGAGGACCATGAGGCAGGAGGGGCACAGAAGGGAGGAGTCTGAGCAGAGGGGAGGGGTGGGGAAGAGAAAGGAGAAGGCCCTCCCCCACCCCCACTCGGTGAGCACACAGGTGGGAGGGGCTGGAGTGCATGGCGTGGGGGGGAAGGTGCCCCCAGAGTCGGTGCCAGGCAAACAGCTTTACTCTTCAGAAAAACTTGGGGCAGGGTGGGGGGGATCACATCTAGTTCTCCTCGCCGCCACAGAGCCTCGATGTCATCTGTAGGACAAGCAGAAAGCCTGAGAGACGGGGAGGAGGAGGCAGGTGGGCTGGGGACCTCTGGACCCAAGCGGTGGCATGACAGACTCGGCTGCTGGGAGTGCTGTGCCTTGGGGGAGAAGAGGCGGCCAGCAGATACTGGCTTCCAGCCACTGTATTGGGGTCACGGGGTGGGATTGAGCCCAGCGTCTGGCTGCCGTCTCAGTGACCGTCACAGGCCCTTGAAGCAAACAAAGAATAGAAAGTCTCAGAGTGAAAGTCTTAGCAAAAATAGAGAAGATAGGAGAATCCCAGGAAAATTATAGAACCATGAAACACAGTAACCAAATTAAGAAGTTAATCCACAGGCCCACCTTTCTGTGGTTGACAGAAGAAAGAACCGGTGGCTTTGAAGACGGAGCAACAGTTTACCCACAGAGCGGGCAGAATGAACAAAACCAGCGAGCCCTGGGGACAGTAAGGTGCAGTAGCCCAGATCTCCCATGTTTGTTAAAGGACACAAACCTACAGATTCAAAAAGCCTGGTGACCCTCAGCAAGATAGACCAAGTGTCCATGCCAAGAGCCTCAGCACCAAGTCTTGGACATTGGGACGAGTCTTGAGGGCAGCGAGAGAAAAGCGGCCCCTGACTCAGGCAGAAGCAGTGACTGTGGAGACCCCTGTCAGACCAGGGGCCAGAGGCACAGCTCCGCTCCAGGCTAGGAGCAGCACCCGGGCACCCAGAGGACTCTGCCAAGGTGAAGGTCCCTCAGGAACCTGGGGAGAACACTCTGTGCAGAGGCAGAACTGCACACCTTGGCTGCGTGTCCCAGGCTCTCCAGATCGTGTGGGGCAGGTGAGGCAGAAATGAGGACATTCTCCGGTATGTAAGTAGATGAAGAAAGTCAGCCAGAAGAGTCGCCTACATGCCCCGCAGGTGTGGCCGGAGAGCTGTGGTGGACCCGCCTCTCTGCCCTCGGGAGCCTGTGGGTGCTGCTCTCTCCCCTGCAGGCTCCCCAGTGAGGACAGCAGCCCTGCTGCATGGAGGGGACCTGCCAAGCAAGCGTGCTTGGGATACGTCCAGCTGTGGGATGCATCCAGCCATGGCTGGGCAGAAGGGAAGGCCAGGCAGGGTGGACAGGTCTCTGGAGGGGCCAGAAGGCCTCTCCAAGTGCTGCTTGAGTACTGGCCTTAGGCAGGAGGAGGATCAGGAGAGTGGCTGCTTGGGACAAGAGTTTGTCTCCAGTGACTTGCTTTCGAGCTCGGAGTGGACTTTGGCATCGCTGCCGTTTGTCTCTGAGAGAAGTCACCAACTTGTTCTGCCTTCCAGCCTGCATCACAGCATTGGCAAGGTTCAGATCCTCTGCAGCCGGCACCTCGGGGGGCCATGAGGCTGGCGCCTCATCTGGCTTGAGTCCCTGGCTGCAGCTGGGGTGCTGTTTGTGCTGTGTGTGCTGCCTTCTGCCCTGGACATGCTCCTGCCTTGCTGGCTGCTGTCCTCCTCTGTTCCAACAGAAGCTGAGCTGCTGATGTCAGCAGTCCCACCTCAGTCAGCCCAGGTGCTTCCCTGACCTGCTGTGTGCCGCTGGGCTCCTGGTCCTGCTTGTTCTGCCTGGAGACCTTTCAGCCACAGGAAGGTCTTGGAGGTGCAGGGACTCCACCGAGGCTTGGGCACTGACCAAGGCCTTCTTGAAGTTATGCTGCTCTTTCAGGACTTTGGCTGAATTTTTTTTTATGGCTTCTAAAGCCTATTGCTCTGTAAATATAACCACTGAAAACTTTAAAAAAATTTTTTAAACTTATTTTAGTATTTGGCTAATGGAGGCTAGTTATGAAAACAACAGGTAATGGCTGTGTTGATGCCGGAGAGGCAGAAGGTGAAAGCCTTTTTGATCAAGGGGCCTGGAAAGGGTGATGTGTACTTCCTGTAGTTTCCTGATGAACAGGGCAGAGCAGACCTGCAGGCTCAGCCTGCAGACTCGCCCCGCCAGCAGCATGTGAGGCGGGAGGCAGCATCCACCAGAGCCTGCAGTAGTGACCGTGCCCACTGTCCTCGGTGACTCCAGAGTCTGAGCACTGGTGTGATCCCACGACCCTGCTGCCTTCATTCCTGGGGATGAGGCATGTGATTTGGCCACATGAGCTCAGATGCTTAGAAGTTATTTGATTTTTCTGCTTTATAAATGTGTTAATTTAACCAAACTCTACTTTTATGGTCAGAATCCAGACCCTTAAACTTGCTTCTTCCACCAAGCCATTTTTATTCTTTCAGTTTTCGCTTTGGGGTTGAAGGATCACAAGTGTACTAGATGCTAGGTCCCAAGTTCTAATTTGGAAGTTTTTAGACCTCATGCTCTTCTTGCTGTGTGTATTTTAAACAAATAGGACATAAATTGTTTTCTTCTTATTGGGAATCCTGTACTGTCCCTGGTTCCACACACCTGTTCTCTGGATGCAGAGCCAGGGCCAGCGCCTGATGCTGGATACTGTGATATCAGAAGTCAGTGGTGGTCAAGTCTTTGTGCAGAAATTGAGAGGCCGATCCTGAAATGCACATGAAAATACAAGGGGCCCAGCCGATTAATCTGCAAAAAGAATAATGTTGGAGGACTCACACTTCCTGATTTTAAGTTTCACTCAGAGTAGTTGAAACTATGGCACTAGTGCAGGGTAGACATGGAAACCTTTGGAAGAGAGTGGGAAGTTCAAAAATAGACTCTTAGTCTGTGACCAGTTGATTTCTGTGAGGGAGCCTGGGTGGTACAATGGGGGAAAGAGCAGTGTTTTCCACAAATGGAACTGGAAAACTGGATATCCACATGCAAGAGAACAGAGTTGGACTCTTACTTCACACTGGGCACAAAATGAACTCGAAATAGGTCATAGATTTAAATATAAGAGGTGAATCTATGGAACTCTTGGGAGAAAATATAGGAGTACGTGTTTGTGAACAGCAGTTAGGCAAAGCCTTGTTTGAAAGAACACCCCAAACTTAAACAACAAAGGAAGAATCGGTAAGTTGGACTACACCCAGATGGTCAGCCTTTTGCTTCAGAGGCTCCAGCCAGAGTGGGAGACAAGCACAGAGGGGAGAAGAGGCTGGCAAATGATGTACCAGATGGGCCATGGCCAGAGTCCCACACCCGTGGTCCCACTCACTTAGTGTCCAGCAGAGGCAGAGTTATCAGACAGGGGGTAGATGTGGTCAGGGAGGGTAGGCAGGGGTAACAAGATGGGGTTTCTTTGTGGGGTGATGACATGTTCTGATCTTAGATAGCGTGAGGATCGCAGACTTTGAATGTGCTAAACACTGAATTCTACTCTGGAGGTGAGTTTTATGATGTATGAATTATGTCTCTGTAACCCCACCACCATCACACAGAGAAATCAGGTAGGAGGTCCACCTGGAGAAGCCCTGGCACCACTGCCCTCTCTGGGAGACATAGGTCAACACTTAGTGACCACCTCCCTTCCACATGTGGGGAGAAGCGTGGTGCTATCTGGGGCCGCTTCCCCTTCTCACAGAGCCACTGATGAGGTTCCGGGACCCCACCTGGTGTCCTCATCTAATCTGAATCGTCTCCCAAAGACCCCAGCCCCAAATGCCATGTGCAGAGAGTTTAGTTTTCCAGACATGGACCTTGGTGGACAGTCAAACCAGAGCTGGCTGCTGGGGCCCGCTGCTCCTCTCAGGCCTGCCCTCACTGGCCTCTGCAGGCCTCCAGTGCGTCCCTTCCCCATACCAGGGGTCTTTGCCCAGGTCCCTCCATGCCCAGGTGCATCCAGCTGTGGAAGCCCTGGGCTACCCCTCCAGGTCCTGCGCCTCTCTGGCCCCTTCTGAGCAGTCCTTGGTCACCCCTCCCCCCATTCACATTACCCATCTCCTGCTCTGTGAATTCCACGATGTCAGGGTCCTTTCTGAGGTGTCCTTGCCTGTGTGTGTTGAGCAGGTATCCATGTGGGCCTGCGACAGGAGGAGTCAGTCCTGCCCTCCCTGAGCCCTCTGCATGCTCTGATTCTGCTTGAGTCTGGGGTTGAGGGCTGAGTCTGGCAGTGAGGGCCAAGTCTGGAGGTGAGGGCTGAGTCCTGTGGTAAGGTCCCAGTCTGGAGGTAAGGGCCGAGTCTGGCTGAGTCTGGCCGAGTCTGGTGGTGAGGGAGACATGCAGCAGCGGGGCAAGTGGGCTGGAACAGACTCTGGCTGTCTTGGTTGACCCATTTGTGTCTGATGGAGGACACATGCTGGGGTCAGAAGGCTCAGTCACCTTCTGTGCCTTGTCCTGTCACTTCTCTGGCTCAGCCCGTCCTCTTGCTACACTCAGGTCCCCCAAGTCCCTGGGGGCCCAGGTAGTTCTGCTGACTTGGGAGCACATTCAGGGTTCTGGGTGCCCCTGGGTCTCTGGTGGCTCCTTCTGTCCCAGTGCGACTGTCCCGCTTGCCCTCCCACCTCCATACCACCCTGCAGCTCCTGGTTCACGCTCTTCCCAAGTTTGGATCCCCCAGCACTCAAAGCTGCTGTCACTTGGTTTGTTGGTACCAGGATTGAATCCAGGGTGCTTAATCACTGGGCCACAGCCCTGCCCCTTTTTAGTTTTTATTTTGGGACAGGGTCTCACTAAGTTGCTGAGGCTGGCCTTGAACTTGGATCCTCCCGCCCCAGCCTTCTGAGTCGCTCGGGTCATAGATGTGCACCACTGTGCCTGGCTGCTGGCACTTCTTGAGTTGTCTCTGCAGAGCTGACAGTGGGACTGAGACACCTGTCCCATCCCAGAGCGTCCCTGGGGATGGCTGCAGCTCCCTCCCAGTCTTCCTGGCTCTCCTTGTCGGTATTTCCCCTCAGGGTGGAGGGAAGGAGGGAGCTCTGAAGCCTGCTCTCTGCCTGTCCCACAGGTCACCAAGGAAAACAGAAACCTCCTTCTACCGGATATCGTGAAGTGGGTGCAGAGCAGCGGGAAGTGAGGTGGGGCTGCTTCCTGCACTGCTGCCCTCAGGAGGCGCCCAGTGGCCTGCTGCAAGTGGCCGTGCCTCCAGGCTTCTGGACCTTGCGGCCAGGAAGGCTGAGGTCAGGGTGGCCATGTGCTGACCACAGCCCCTCACAGCCTGCTCACGCTCAGGGCTTTCTGTTCATTTCTTCTTCAGCTGCATGTGGTCTGGTAAAGCAGGAACCAAGCAAAGGCGCTAGTAGTCACTGGAATTTGCTCCATTGAAGTTTGTCCTAGTGTCGCTGAGTGGACAGCAAGCTCACTGCCTGTTCACCGCAGGTCCTGAAAGTTAAAGGCCTCTCCTGGGTTCTGTCTCCTGCAGCACGAAGTCTTGTTTCCTAGGAAAGTTATTTGGGGTTCTCCCCTATCTCTTGTGTATTTCTCCATTAATTGCTAAATAAAATTAAAGCAAACCTGGTGTTTCAAATACACGGGTCCTTCTGTGGGTGGGCCACCCGGCCTTGGAGCGGCCCTTGCCACTTGACGCTCAGGCTGAAGGGCAGCAAGAGCGAGGTTCCTTCAGTGCCCTGCCTGGGTCGTTGGCTTGGGTGCATTATTTTAACTTTTGAGCCTTTTTTCCCTTCCAGGAAAAGGGCCAATGGCTGTCCTCAAAGCAGGTGGTAAGACTGCAGAGCAAACTGTTCTCAGCACTGGGCTGGCCAGTCAAGAGGAAGGTCAGCCCACAGCAGAGGCTCCACAGAAAAGGGAGGTAGAAAAGCCTGGGCACTCTAGGGTTACGAGACTGCCCCACATGGTGATCCTTGAGTGACAGCTCCACGTTTTCAGGTCATTTTGGGTGAAGATCTGTCAGTTTCCAGGATTTTTTAGCAACCAGCATCAGCTATGGCACCTCTGGTCTCGTTACAGAGTGCTCTGCTCTGTAACCGACAAAGCTAGGCACCTGCAGGTGGCGGCACCTGTGTGGCACACGGGCAGGGCCCAGGCACAGCCTCTGAGCAAGACCAGAGCCTGCAGCCGGGCAGACGACATGCCCTGGATGTGTCCCCTGGAGGGACCACAGCAGGTGGCCTCCAGACTGGGAGCTAATCCCTCAACCAGGGCCTCCTGCCCAGGAGCAGGAGGGGCTGTCTTCCTTCCACTATCCCAGTCCTGGTGGCCAGGTGCTGTGTCAGGGTGGGCTGTGGGCCTCAGTGGGCCAGGATGTCCGCCACCACACCTGGCAGCCTGACCCAGCCAAACTGTGAGAGCAGCACAGCCCTGCGGGGGGCCCCTGCCAACCTGAGGAGAAGGGGGTGGAGGGAGGGGACGGGGAAGGGCTGGGGAGAAGTCCCTCACCTGCATCCTGGAACCCCCAGCGCCACCGCCCAGCAGAAGCGGGACTCACATGGGTGCCTTTCCTGGGCCTATAGCAGTGGTTGTGTGTGTCCGGGGTTCCCAGGGCTCCCATGTAGGAATGTGTCCTCCTGCACTGTCCCTCAGAGGTCTGTGCTTCAGGGTGACTATTGGTTGAACCCTGGCTTTGTCTCAAGTCAGGAAACCAGTGAAACTTATTTCAAAGAAGACAGAATGACTGGCTTGGGGGCATTGTGCTCAGGCAGGCAGGGCTGTGGTGCTCTGCTTGAGGGTTGGCACCAACTCTGTGGCCCCTAGCTGGGGGCACTGACCAGCGTGGAGGGGCAGTTGAACCCTCTGAGGGGCTCCAGAGCACGGGTTCTTGCCAGCGCTCCCTGTGGCTCCTTCAGGCTTTCTGCGTCTTAGTGTGCCACACGCCCCAAGTCTCCCAGGTGACGTTTATCTGTGACACTGGCAAGTCCTGTCGTGATTATTGTATTACCATGTCAAAGAGAATGCTCAGGGCGTGTGTGAAGGTGCCAGATGTAATCCCTGTCACAGAGTGCACCAGGGTCTCTAGGAGGGCACCATCAGTCTGCAGCTGGCCTGGGTCCTGACATAAGGGGCTGACATGGTGCTGCTCCTGTGCAGCATTTTGGCGGGAACAAGAGGCTGTGTGATGCAGAACCAGTTGGGGACTGGCTTGCTGCCCACACTCCTTCCTGTCCTCGGCAGTTCTGCTACCAGCCATGCCACACACCAGGATTTACAGATGGACTCCTCTCAGCTCTGAATGGGGTGACTCATGGAGGGAGGGGTCAAGCCTCTTAAACTGGTCAATAGGGAGAGGCTCCCAGTGCAGTTGCTCGTCCCAACCACCCCAAGTCCCAGGGCGCTGGCACTGGCGGGATGCCTTGCCCCTCCTTCCCTCCCTTCTGTCTAGTGTGACAGGATGCCTTGCCCAGGAGGATGGCACCTGGGTGCCAAGGGCAGGTGTACAGCACCTGGACCTGGGCGGGATGGGGAGGGTACAGGGGCCAAGGCGCATGCAGGTCTCAGGAGTAGCAAGATGCTGGGTGTCAGGTGTCCGAGAGGCATTTGTCAGGCAGGTGTGCAACATGGTGCAGAACTTGGCCTCACGACTTCCACACAACCAGACACCACAGTGTTACGTCACCTTTTGGAGGGACTTTTCATCCAGGATTCAAATACAGAAAACAGCTGTGTGTTGGGAGAACGTTCGAGTGCCCTGGCAGTAAGTGACAACCCAGCCCCTATCTGGCTTGACCTTGGTGGGGAGCGGTCTGCTGCGGCCGAGCAAGCATCTGAAGGCCCAGAGCTATGGGTGTGAACATCTGTCCTGTGTCAGGATCAAACACAAAGCTGCACGGCCACAGTGACTCCAGTGCCATGCCCTCTTGGTGGTGCCGGTGGGCACCCCCACCTCAGCACGCACGGTCAGGATGCCTGAGCTCCTTCCTTCACAGCAGGCGGCACGGTGAGGAGCAGCCCATGGGGATGAGAGGGTGCACCAGGCCTCACCTCCCACGCATACTTCTCTGCAGGTGGGTCCCACCCCTTCCTCAGGAGTTCCCATCTGCTCTGCTCTGGGTCCCCAGGAGTGGCTGGCTGTGCCCCACACTGACTGTGGTCTCTTTTCACTGAACTCAAAGAACCCAGAGGGCTTCACTCACAACTCAGGCCATGCTTAGTCCTGAGTGCCCCAGAATGTTTGGGGGGCTCCCAGCCAAGTTTGGTTAGCCACTTAGAGAACTGCTGCAGGTGACATCAGCGTCCCATTGGTCAAACCGCTGTGATGTATAAACAGAACTTGAGCCTGGGTCTCTGGGGCCTGTGGAGCCATGACTCGCCTCTCATCATGGAGCCCACCTACTGCCAGTAATCGCTGGTCCTCAGCTTACGAAAACAGAGAAGGAGGCATTAGTGCCAGGGCCAAGGGGTAGGGAGACTGCTGTCCTCTGCCCCAATCTCCAGGGCCGAGATGCCTCAAGGACATTTTGTGACTGTTCGGGACTGTATTCCTTTCTAACTCCTGCCATCCCCACAGGGTGGCCCAGCAGGAGAGCGTCATGTTCCCATGCACTATTTCTGGACCCTTGTCCTTCCTGCATGCCAGCAGGAACACAGGTCTCTGCCCTACCCAGGGGGTCATGAGGAAAAAAAGTCCCAAATGTCAGCTTTTGCCCCAAATCCACTCTCACCGCGTGGGACAGCTTTTTAGAAATGGCAGCTGTCTCAGCAGAACTCAAGCACCAGACAGACGCGGCAGTAGCTGTAAACATTTTAATTCTTAGGACAAAGGCTGTGCCAGTGTGCTTGTGCTGGCAGCCGGGGGGGGGGGGGGTTGCTCAGCGTGGAAGATAGTACGCGGGCCTGGGGCACACGGGGAGCACGGCTGGGTCAATCCTGGGGCTGGGTGGAGGAGCACCGTGCCGCTCCCCCATGGCTCGCCGCGCTGAGCCTCCACCCTGGCATCCTGGCCTGGTCTGGCTGCGCACAGGGCACTGGGCCGTGACCACGTGCACTATCACGGGCTGTGGGAGCTGGGCCGTCTGCACTTCCTGCTGCGTGGACCCAGGGATAGAGGATGTCTTCTCTATGAATCAGGCACCTAGATGGCTGGTGCCTCCCCCGCTTCGGTCCACCTCTTCCTCGTGGTGACAGGGCAGTGAGGACGTTGACGAGTGGGAGATGTCAGTGACTTAGCATGCAGTGGCCTTACTTCCATCAGGGCAGGAGGGAGTTAATCAGGGCTCTACTTAGTCTAGATGGTCTAAGGTACAAGATGGCTTTCGTCTGACGTGTGGGCTCTTGTGCGGTGCTGGGGGAGGGGGCCTGTCCCTCCCCCAGCCCGCGACTGTCACGTGGGTCGTTTTCAAGAACCTGAGATAAAGTCAGTGTTTCCTAAGCAGCTCTTGCTTTTCCTGGGAGGAGACCCCAGGGATCGTAGCCGGGCTCTTCGGTTTGGGGTAAGGGGAGGACAGAGGAGGGCTGCGGAGGACGGACTCTCCGGCCAGATGTGCTGGCTATTGCTCATCTGAGGCGCTTTGCTGTGAAGCTGTGTCATCCAGGCCCATGTCCTCCTGGCTCGCTCTCCTGCAGATCAGCCCCCGGTTCTCTGCCACGGCCTCTGCCAGCCGTCCGTCATGCGGCTGCCCCTGCTCAGCTGCATCTGAGGGTTCACAGGGCTCTGAGAAGTGCTTCCGGAGAGGAGAGAAGCAGGGACACTCAGCAAAGGCTCCCACCCAGGCTCCTGTCCCCCACCTGCATACCGCCCCAGCAGGGGAATGGGAGCTGGGGTTGTGGAGTCCCTGAAAGCAGGCCCTGAAGGTGGGGACAGGCCACGACTGAGGGTAGGAAGTGCCACGGAAGCTGCATGTCTCATGGGGACTCCAAAGGCCAGGCCTTTCTCAGAAGGAGGTGGCCTAGGAGGTTGCTGTGTGCCCCTCTCCTGGGCCCCAGGCAGCACCGCCTCATGCTCAGCCCCAGCTCCGGCGCTACCACAACACTGCAGGCTGGCCCAGGGACATGGAGGCCTTGGGTTCTGGAGGCTTGTTGGAGACAGGGAAGGGAGTGTTCCAGATTCCCAGAACCACCCTCAGACGGGCTGACCGACGGGTGGAGGAGTGCATGTGGCCTTCCTGCTGGGGACGGGGAACAAGCATTCAGAAGGACACCCAGCTCGGGAAGTCTCCTGGACAGCCTGCCTTTCCCCTGGGCCCGCATGGCCTGGGGCTCCAGGAGGCCTGAGTGGCCCCCACAGGGGACATGCCTTTGCTGGGCCCCAGATTCTTCCTGGGTCACCTGGCCTGACCTTGGCGCCCCTGGAGGGGCAGCAGGGCACCTCTGAGGGTGCTCAGGTATGATCCCACCTCCAAACGACTGCACCTGGAAGGGGGTCCCTGATGACCTCCAGGCAGGAACCCGTGGGGCCTCCCACTCTGAGGCCCCTCGCCCTGACTCGTCAGGTAGGCAAATTAGCCAGCCTGGACTCTGGACACTGACAGCGTATCTGCTCAGGGTCCTTAGAATTCACTTTCTAGTATTGAAGTACCTGAAAGTGGCCGCCCGCCCACAGCTTTAAAGGTAGACCTAAGGGATGGGGACTACGAT